GTTCAGAACATTACGTGCTGTTTGACTGTATGTTCAGGAACATCTTCTAATTGAATATACCAGAGCAACTCTGCTGGTCTGAGTTCACTTATAGATCTAAATACGAAATGTAGGTTCTAGAATGGACTCAAGAGGAAGAGGCAGTTAATCAGACCTCATTAATACCCTTAAAATGTTGCAAATCACACAATACAAACTAAAGAAGTCTATTCATAACTCTCTATAGTCGGTCTCTAACAATGCTCCCCACCGGTTCCAACTCTTTCCGGCGGAAAGACTAGATTTCTGGTCTGCCTTTGAGGGCATTATAAAACACTAAAACACAGGACTTTTACTACCCTATGGATCACAAAACACCGAAAGTTCACACACCCGCCGCTTCCCGCGTCATCCTCAATCCGATTGATCCTTGCGATTTCAAACCAAAACATTCAAGGTGTCAGAAATACCGGGTTGCCGGGATGGGTATTTTACAAGCAATCGCAGCTTGCTCTATGACCGGCACAATCGGCATACTTGCGGCACACTGACAAAAAAGCTGACCCAAGATTGGTGTGCGGAGTGACCTACCCCTTGGAAATTCCAGAGAACTAAATTTAGATGTTTTTAGAGAGTTTCATCATTTTCAGTAAATTTCCGAGTACTTCAAGTACGATCAGATAGCTTCAAAATAATCCCTTAAGGGGGTATTCCCGATCTTTTTTTTCAAAAAATCAAATTTTTTTTTTTCACGTTTTTTTGTACTTTAGACTATATACTTTCATCCCCCCAAGCCGTTTTCCGATCAGCGAATTCGGTGTACAGGCATAGCTGACTAATGGTAAGAACCCCCAAATGGTTTTAACTAAAGTCAAAACTTTAAACGCGTTTTTCTCGAAACCACATTTTTTTTATCGGGCGAAGATTTTTCTCAGAAACTATAGGAGATATTGACTTGAATCTTTGCGCATTTTGTTCCTTATTAAATTCTTTGGAGCTTCTCCCACTTTCAGCCAAAAATATTAACATTTAACATTGTTTGAAGCACCTTAAAGCTGCAAAAAAGCGGGCTAAAAATCGCCTGTTTTTTCATATGGCCGCCATTTTGTTAATTTGCAAGATTTTTTGCTGCCAACGGGAGAAGCTCCAGAGAATCTTATGCAGATTATTAATTTCATCACGAAATCTGTTTCAGATGAAGCCGTTCCAGAGAAAAGTCTTCGCCCGTCCAGGCGTTTGCGGCGAACAGGGGTCTGTTTGCCGCCATTTTGTGACGTCAATAATGTCTTTTTTATGTCGAAAAAAATTTATTTGTAAACTTTAATGTTAAAAAAAAACAAGAATCCCAAAGAGTTAGGCGCATTACTATTCATTTTCCTTGAAAAAAAATTAATTGAAAAACAGGCCGAAAAAAGGCAAAAGATTGGGAATACCCCCTTAAGCAAATTTGCAGCGACTTACAAGGAGTTCCGTGGAATTATCGAGGGGGACGACTCTATCTACGATGCAGTAAATATTGTGTTTTGCTGTGGCTAGCTGCACGTACGCTGAGTAGATAGAAAGAAGATTTATCACGATTTTGAAGATTTCCTGCAAAAAGATGATGCACGATGCAAGTAGATGCGAGAAATGAAAAAAGATTTTTCGAAGATTTATTCGCTAGTGTGAGATGTTTGGAGCATCTAGAATTGAGATTTAGATGTGTCGCCCCCCTCGGGAATTATAGGGTATTTCAAGAATTCTATGATTGATCCGAAAACGTCAGAAGCGTCAGGGAATTATGAATGTATATCAAAAGATTTGCTGGATTATTAAACAAATTTCGAGAACTTCAGAAAAGCATAGATAAGTTCAGGGAAAATAAGTGAGTGTTTATAATGGTTATAATACTTAAGGAAAATTTTCTAAACTTCAAGCCAAATTAATTAATTTCAGTAATGTTTCGGGTTCTTAAAAAAAATACTGATAAATTCAGGGCAGTCTAGAGAGCTTTGAAGAAAGTCAGTAATTGTTTAGGCTCCAGGAAAGTCTAGACTATTGAAGAAGTTTTAAATTAGTGTCGATAATTTAAGGGACCTTTTATGAACTTCAGAAAAATCGTTCTAATTCCATGAAAATTGCGGGAGCACATAAGTTCAGGAAATTTAGAAAAACGTCGGAAACTGCACTACTTCATAGACATAGAAATCTATGGAGCTTAAGATGAGATCCGCGAATTTCGGGAAATTTTATGAAAATTAGCAAAATTCGGGAGCATTTGAAAGAAGTATAATAAGCTCCGAAAATTTTAGGAATTTCAGGGGGAGGTCAGTTCCATTAGTTTCAGAAAATTAGTGGGTATATAAAGCAGTTCCCAGATTTTCAGATAACTTCAGAGACGTTAAAAAGTTATTTCGCATAAGTTCAGAAGCTCACTGAATTTTAAACATTTGAGGACGATTCAATTAAATTCAGCGCAGTACAACAAGCTTCATGAGCACTGCAAAAACTGTAGAGAAGTTTTGAGAATTTCAGAAAAGAACAGAGGACCTCAGAGCAGTTCCGTCAACATTAGAGAAGTCCCATAAATTTCAAAGAAGTTTAGGGAACCTTTAAAGGAGATCCATGAACATTAGAAAAATTGAGGAATTAAAGTCCAAAAGTTCAGAATTTAAGGAGAAGTATTGTTGGCTAGTTTCTCAAACTACAAAAGAACTTAAAGGCAGTTTCATTAACTTCAGAAACAAATTGAGAACTATCAAGTGGTTCTGAAGACGTCAAAATAGTCCATTCTATATTCAACGGAGATTTCCATGGAAATATTCCTCAAAATTTCGACGAAGCTATCCTCAGAATTAAATTTTATTTTAGTTTTCCTCGGAATTACCTTGAAGTTCTCCACAATTAGTTATTCTCACATTTAATTGTAATCCTCCTTTTAGTATTTTCAAAAAAATCCAAGGACTTGACAAAACAAAAAAGAAACATTTCAAGTCTCTGTATTTTTTTAATTTTAATTGTTACTGAAGATTAATCCACTGTGAATCTATAAAGTTCAAAGCGTGAATGAAAATAACGAGAAAAGTTAAATGCTTGTATTTTAAAATTTATTATTTTCTTCAAAATATCCTTAGAAAGAAAGTTTTGAAATTCTGTGAGACTTCCAGGTATTTTAAGGAAACAAAAAAATTCCTGATGATTCCCGGTTTTCCAGATTTTTGAAGTTAGTAGATTTGAGTCCCCTACTTTTTTTTCTATCGACACGAATGTTTCGTATTTATTTTATGAATCATTCGTTCGCAATAAAATCAGTACTGAGTGTGACCCTTAGAACGAAACTAGCTTCATAAAAACTTCGAATCTATTTCGTTGCAGATAACAACGCATCGATTCGTGGATCAAACGAACGATTTCATGGAATAAACTAAATTTTATTTTCAACGCGAAAAATACATAATGAATTAATAATTTCATCATCTTCTCTGGGGAATGGTACATTCTGGGACATGGTTTTCTGGGTAATGGTGCATTTTGGGAAATGGTTTTCTGGAGAATGATTTTCGGGAGAATGTTAACATCTAAATAATTTCATAATTCCGATAAAACATTTTTTGTGCTTCTAGTACGTTGCTTGCGATACTGAATTGAAGGAGTACAACGGCACTACAATCATGTCTATCGAAGCTATAATCAAGTCTGCTTTCAACTGTAGGAATTCAGGTCCATTGCGCAGCAATCGCCAATGAAACACCATCTCCATGCAAACAGCTTCATCTCCCACGCAACATGTGTCAATCGCAAATACTTAACAACCCGTTCTCCAGGATAATTGATCCATTCTTCGAAATCGACAACGACGACGACTAGGTACTACCCGTACACCATCATCTAACTCGAACTCACTCGACTCCGGCCATCGAAGCAGCGCGTCGTATAAGTGGATATTCAGCAGAAATAAGCAGCAGCAAAAAAGACGCATGGAAATCGCTGCCGTAGCACTTTCTGTCGTCGTTCCGTGCCCAGTCCCAGTCGTCCCCTCCACGCTCTCGGCAATGGCTTCTCCCTCTCTCGAATTGGCTCGTCGATTTCCCGCTCGCTAGATTGCCATTTTCCACACATAGCGGGCCCCTGGCCTACTAATGCTGACTGAATGTTTCTGGCCGTACACATGCATACCAAACCCCCCCCCCCAGTAAGAATGATTTCCAAATGTCAAAAAGCTTAATTTGTCACAACATTTTTGTTCCATACAGTCTTTGATTGCTTTCCAGCTAAAAACCGATTTGTCAACGTCTGAACCGATCCAGTCTTGGGTACCTACTTCTAACGCCTTCATCATGGTATTTAGTAGGCAGAAATATGTGATACTTGTTGAATGTGGGCAAACCGACCGACCGACCGCTCGACCCTGCGCACCCTTCCAGCCATTCCACCCATCCCCATACATGTTGAGGGGCAATTTTCCCGACTAGTTGACATATTTGCCACCAGTCAGCAGCACCGATCGTGTGCGAACTGCCGACGAGAACGCGATATTCCAATGCGAGCGATGCAATGTGCGACAGTGTGTAGGTCTGTGATCAATACAAGGAGGCATAGAACCGCGGTTGGGGCCATCGTCGTTTGCAGCGCGCACATGTTGCAATCGCTGGCTGCCTGTTGTTTACACTGCACTGGTATGCGAAGGTAATGAACATGCTCGCATGTGCTTGTGGTTTTTCGAGGGCATTGCATACCATGGTACCAGTTGGCCAGCAGCGTGGTTATTGTTGTGTGTATTGGGGGGATAGAGAGCTTACTGCTTTGGAGTGGGTAAAACTTGGGAGTGAATTTTTCAAATAGGTTCACCGGAAAGCTAAAACATTATCGAAGCAAGCTTTGCCGCTGTGGTTGAGTGCAATATTGCATGCAAATTTTGCATCCAGGGTAGTAGTTATTTAGCGTGAAAGGGAATGCGAGTGATATTAGAAATACAAACAGATAGAACAGCAGAAATGTACTAGTTACTTTGTTTTTATTACACACTTTTTTTTGTTCTGGTACATGCACACGTTGAGATAACAATAATTTCTTCTGGATCATTCCATTCTATCCAAGTGTCAGTTTTCTGTTGTAATGCGTTCCCATAATTCGAAACAAGTGTTAAACAATCGTACTTAAATTTGTATGCACGGTTTCTACACAAAGTAAACTTTGTTTGCACTCTGTTTCGCATTCCTTTCGTATGTGTTTGTATTATTGTGCAAATCTGCGAGATCCCTTTTACTAATAGTCTTCTGTTTTTTTTTTCACGATAAATCACGTTCATAAGGAACAATTCACTCTCTAGATATGTGCGAATGGGGGAAAAACAAACGTCAATCGAGTCTTTCTCCTTGTTCATCTAAAACGCAGTCCTATCTACTAAATCAAGTATGAATTTGAAAGGGCGATCTCCAATCAACTGCCGATGGCAGGAATTTGCTGTATATGCTATGTTGTTAAACATTCCGATTTCTTGCTAAACACACCCGCCAATCACTTATCTACTGGAAACTGAAGGGAAAAGATCAGTCATTTCGATTACACCGCATCGCTATTACTCGCGCGCACCCTCGTCTACTTCGTATAGTATAATTCACCTGTAAATGTACCTAAAATTGATGTGATTCTTCTATCTCCATAAGAAGTTGGTCTCTCGATGATGGTTATCGGTTCGAATGATTCACTACTCACCGCAAAGGGGTAAATAAACTGCAAATCCTCCTATTTGGGCTACTTGTTCTTCATTTTACTTTTAGCCAGCAGGAACTGATCATATGCGCACGCTATGTGTCACTTTACCAACTCTAGTAGGACCTAAATGTTTCACTTGGTTGATAGAGAGGGGTTAAATATTTGCCAATAATATAGATATATAATATTTTTTTCAGTATAATTAGAAGTAAAATACGATAAACAACAGTTTTATGGGTTTCTTTGGACTGATTTTCAAATATATATATATAGCAAGGCCCTAGGTTCGTTCGAGATATTGTGTGTTAGCTATTTGTGCCTACGTACATGTACATAAAGTATCTACGCAGATAGATCTAGAGATAGATTTTAATCGTTTGCAGAGGAATGTTTGGAAGGTATGACACGAGCGCGCAGCATGGCCACTATTTTCGATGCCAGTGGAGTGCTGGATTGAGTTTTGGGTGATGACGTTAATGACGGTTGAGCTTTGATTGGTTGAGCAGCGACCACCGATGATGACTGATGGGTGTCCACTTTGGAGGATGAGTGCGAAGCCCCGGGACCGTCGCCGGAATCTGAAACAGTGACAAATATGAACTGCTTCATTCTGCTAATATAAGTTATTTGCAATCTAATGGGCCACCATCCATTTTGAATCATAACCCCCAAAATACGAGTCTGTGGTAAAAAATGGTTATGATTGATGAAGATTTATATCATCGAAATAGATTGTTGTAATCCAGTACCACAATTGACGAACTGGATTAAAGGAGTACAATAGTACTTATTTATTTATTTATTCGTCAATCAATCTAATCGTACCGTATGCGTGATAATGTTTGCACCATTGAGCAATGCCAAATTAAAAAAATTCTCAAAAATTTCGTTTTCGAGTTTTTTGTTTATTTGTTCAAAAGGGGGATGTTTCTCAGAGTCTTAAACTATGTTAATCATCGATCGAGTTTTCACTTGCTGCAATTACGGCCTCCACACGCTTCCGGAATGCACGGCAGGTTCTAATATTGTAGTCTGGATACATTTCTCTCCAGGTACGGGTCAATGTTTGTCTGAGGCTTGCTGTACTCGGGTGGCGTTTAGAACAGGCCTTGGCCTTCATGACGCGCCATATTGAGTAATCCACATACCCTTCGCCTAGAACGGAAGATGTTCCTGCATCCACTTCTGAGTGCGGTTCGAGGTGTGGCACGAAGCCCCATCTTGTTGAAATCCAACATTTGGCTTCGGACCGTACTGTTCTTTGATCCACGGAAGAACATACTTACTTAAAATCCCGATGTAGACCTCCGTGTTGACCTTGTCGCCTTCTGGAATTAACACCGGGTCCATTTTTTACCATCGGAAGCCACCAATCCAAACATCATAACGCTAGCAGGATGCTTGGTCATATACACGTTCTTGTGCTCGTTGGCCACGTTTTTTATCGGAAGAGAACTAATATACTGGTCGGTTCTGGAATTTGATACGGTTTCGTCGGTGAACAGTATTACCGGATTTTTTCGCTTAAGGAAGTTCAAGATTTTCGTGCATCGTTCGACTCGTAGCTCCCGGATGCGGTTGGTTATCATGTGAGTTTTTTTCCGTGCCCCCGACTTCGTCCCGCAATCTTCCTTTACGATCTTCCGTGCCGTAAAGTCACTGATCCCGTGTTCCTTTACCATTTTCCTTATTGAACGCACTGGATTCACCCGAATCTTCCTTTTGATAGCAGCGATAACGCTCGGACGACCTGTGGCCACCTTCGCGGATAGTTGTCCTTTCTTTTCTCGGTCTAAAACCCATTTGACCCAATGTTCACCGGGACATTCCCACGGCGATTGAAATGTCTTTTTGCGACATTTGCGCGTTGGACAAATAACGAATACGCTGCCACTAACTGTCAAACTAAGTAAATCATTTTCTTTTATACACAGCCTACTACGGTATGAGCTATAGGTTACGTGCATGCAAAGAAAACCAAGGCATTGTATGCACAGGTGAAACGGGAACCTTATTTGTACGATGGCGCAAACATTATCACGCATACGGTAGACTACATATTAACATTAGGACTTATGTTCTATGACTTCGCACGGTTATATTTTTAATTCTGTTGAACATTAGTATGTTTGTCATTAGTATTAGAGATCGCGGAAATGGTTTGAAGTTTGTATGGCAATAGCCTAAATTTATCAAATAAAGCACTATTTGTCCAAACACCGTAAAAATTCAATAGCTATTACAAATATTTGACCATCAGTTGTCATTCTACAATTTTTGTCGCTTTTAAAGTGTCCAAAGTTTTTATTTTTCTGACTCATATTTTTTATTCAGAAAATTTAGATATTTTTAACTTTTTATTTATTTCTCAAAATTGCCGTGTATAAGGTAGAGAACTCCTTCGGCCTAATCACCCATTTTGAGCCTATCGAGCAGAAAACTTCAAATAAATCCATGATTTCAGAGCTAACAAGTCAATTATGTCAAAAAAATGTCAAATACTTTAGTCACAGACAAACAGACATAACTTCAGAAAATATCATCAAGCGTATTTTTCATGCACACTAGCACTCTCTATCATGTATATTCCCAAGCATTTTTCTGCAACCGGAGCATCCCTTGTTCATGCAATATTTTCACTAGTTGCTTTTCCCTCGTGCTGTCAACACGTCAGCTGTGTCGAATAAAAACAAAACAGATGCAAGTCAGTGATGTCAGTCTTACGAAATTTTCCATAGATCTATATAATTTTGTGTGATTTTTTTTCTTTTGCTGGAAACAAGTTTTTAAACGTGGTAATTCGTCACTAAGCGGTGAGTCGATCTATCCGTGCGCCACTCTATATTGTGTACTCTCCTTGTCGACTCACCGACATCGAACAGAGAGCGAGTAAGCAGAAGCTTCATTACGTGAGTGAGTGTCAAGCAGGTAAGATGCGTCCGGGTCAAAGATGGAAGCTTACGGAATGGGTGGTTTCCTGATGGCAGATCACATCTTCATATTTGGCCACCGTGACAGGTCTTTTCGCTGCCTATTTCATCACAGCGGAAAGAAACGAATACACATTTTGCCGTTGATGCAATTTGGAAGGAAATCACTCATTCCGCAAGCTAAAATAGAACAAATTTATTATACTGAAAGTGGAAAATCAAGATGGCTGCCAGAATGGCTAGTACGGCAAGGAATATTGGTAGTGAAACAAACTTTAGTTTAACACTGTGGAGGTAGTGCCAGTTAAAAAAAAAGCAAGTTGAGAGGACTGCAGGTTTTCGTGAACAACGCTGATCTCTGATTAATAAAATGCGAGTTGTGAGAACAGCTTGTTTTGAGAATGTGTGTGTGTGTTCAATAAAATAGCGTGTTGAGAGGACCGCAAAGCAGAGCGTGTTTAGAGGACCACTCAAGTATGGCGTGTTGCAAGGACCGCAAAGGAAGAGCGTGTTGAGAGGACCGCTACTTTTGGGAGAATGTATGTGTGTTCGATAAAATAGCGTGTTGAGAGGACCGCAAAGCAGAGTGTGTCGGAAGGATCGCAATAGCAGGCCGTGTTGAGAGAACCGCAAAAGAAGAGTGTGTTGAAAGGACCACAAAATTGATAGTGCGTTGAGAGGACCGCTGGTTTTGTGAACAATAGGAAGAGGAAAAGTGCGTCTGGAGCATTTTCCTGCCATTCCTGCCAACACGCCACGCATTTCATCAGCTCGCTGTTGAAAGCACTATCCGTTGGGATAACATCACACCTTTTCCGAAGAACGTCCCGACTACCAAAATGTGGGAAGCTTGGAAGTGCTTCATTCAGGACTTCGAAATAGCATCTTCATTGTCGAATGTTAAGAATCCAAAGCGTCGTGTTGATTTGCTTATATTGTCAATGGGCGAGGAACTGAAAAGTATTGTCCGTGCTGCCAAGCTGCGACCAAATTCAGAGGATGATGCTTGCTACGAGACTTTGGTAAATAACATTGACCGGTATCTTAAGTCCATGACTGATCCAGCTGCTGAACATGAAAGCTTTTCAAACATGCGTCAAGAAGAAGGAGAATGTGCTGTTAATTTCCATGCACGGTTGACAAGGAAAGTTCAATTGTGTGGCTACAGTCCGGATGATCAGGACCGTTTCGTTTCGTTGAGGGGGCTCCGTAATCAAGAGCTCAAGAAAGCTGCTCGTTTGTACGGTCATGATTCAAACTTCATCGTGCAATCAGCAACTCGGGCCCAAGCATTTTAAGCTTAGACTTCACCATCTGCAATTGAATCCATCGTCTTAGCAGCAAGCAACAATCAGTACCGTGGTTCACAATATCGATTCAAGCGCGGAAATTCAAGAGTATTTTAAGAAGACGTGTTTGGTGGCCAGGCATGGCGAGCGATGCAGAGAAGTGGGTTAAATAGTGTGCCGTTTGCGCTGTTAATGGAAGACCAGAAAGGCCGTTTGGGATACCATTGCGCTCGATTTTAATGGACCGTATCTGATGTTGGGAAGCATATAAATTTTTTTCGTGATTGATCTAAGGTCCAGATATGCAATAGCACGTCCTGTTAAATCAACCAAGTTTGAACACACCAAAGCAGTACTAGACTCGATTTTTGAAAGGGAAGGTTTTCCAAGAGCAATAAAATCGCACAATGGACCACCATTCAATGGCGACGACTATGCACGCTATTGTTCTGAACGTGGCATCCAAGTTATATTTTTGACGCCCTTTTACCCACAGCAAAATGGCTTAGTAGAAGGATTTATGAAAATTGTGAATAAAGCGATGTGCACTGCAGTGTCTACAGGCACAAACTATCAGAAAGAATTGCAGTTTGCAATTCAAGCATATAATGCAGCAAATCATACAACCACGAAATTGCCTCCCGAGGAAGTGTTGTCGGGTCGCAAAATCAAGCGTGGATTCACAGGAGTGGAACTTTGGATCAGAAAGTGGCTCCACTTGTCATATGCAAACACTAGCGCACCTAGCGGTAGAAGGCATCTTTTGCCTGCAGTTAAGATAGGCAGCATGCTATGATAGTGTGAGTGCACATAGAATTCTCGCGTGGAACGCTACCACAACACATCGCTTGTTGAGCAGAAAAACGAACCACTTTTTGATTCACCGATTTGTTGCACTTCCCCTTCTGTTCTGTGGTGGATTGTCATTTCTTCGTCCTGGAAAGTCAAATCATGACGAACACGCATTAGAAACTCGAGCTCGTGAAGCGAAATTGCAGTCAAAAGAACGAGAGGACGTTCGACGTGGCGCTAAGGCATGTAGAGTTAAACCAGGAGACACGGTTGCCGTAGAACGCCCATCTAGGACAAAAGATGAAAGATGATTTGGCATGAAGCGATACGTTGTATCCGAAGAACGTAACGGTAGTTTGGTTCTCTGCGATCCCGATGGTCAGCAACTTCGACGTCACGTATCGCAGACAAAAAAGGTCCAAGAATTTCGTGAGCAGAAATCGACAAACACATACGAGCCGATACATACGTCAAATCCAGATGTTCTCTCCGATGAAACTCGTCCTCAACGGCCTATCAGAGATAGGAAGATTCCATCCTATCTGTCTGAATACATGCGTTCAGTGG